CCATGAGGCACCACTCGCCAGCGCTGCTGCCCCCGGACATGGCGGCGCTGCCGCCGCTCAGGCCGCGCTGCCGCCCCGCGCCGCTCCCTTCCCTTCGCTTCCCTTCCCGGCAGGACCCGCGCCGGGCAGCGCCATGGAGAGGCGGGGCGGCCGCAGGAAGCGGCGCCCGCGACTGGATCCGGGGCAGCCGCCGGCGGCGGCTCCGGCACCGCCCCGGCCGCGGGAGGACCGTGCCGCGCCCCGCGGGGCCGCTGCGGGGCGGCTGCGGGGAGGGCGGGGGGTGCGGGAGCCGCGGGCGCCCCGGCGGGGAGCGGGGCCGGTCCCGAGCGCGGCTCCATCCGGGCACCGCGCGGGGGGCGCGGCCCCATCCGGGTCCCGGCGATGCTGTCGGGGCGCGGCGGGCGGGGCCGGTGCGGGAGTCGCGGAGCTCCGGCGGCCGCAGCGGGACAGCCCTGCCCGCCCTCCGCGCCCGGAGCGGCCCCGCCGCCGCTCGGTGTGCCCGGCGCGTCCCCCGCCCGTCGGCCCGAGGGCCCCGGCGCTGCGGCCCCGCCCGGGCCGCGGCCGCGCAGGCAAGTGGAGCGTCCCGGGGTGCGGGGGGAGCGGGGTGCGGGCTCCCCGTGCCAGCCCCGGGGGGCCCCAGGGACGGTACTGGAGTGCGGGGAGGCCATGGGGGCACCCCCGGCGGCACCTGGGCGAGGGGAGAGCCGCGGGGCATTACCGGGCGTGTCCCTGGGTTACGCAGCTCGCCCGTCACGCGTGTTTATCGCCTTTGCAGAGACTGACAGCTGCGCTCCGCTATCGGCTTTAGGTGCTCCTACCTCGTAATTCTCTTCTGCGTAAGCTAAGCTGCCTTTGCCCCTCAGTCAGAGCAGTTTTTTTTTTAAGCAGGCAGGTTCTTGCAAATCGTGCAGTAGAAGTGTGTGAGCGGGTGAGTGATTCGTGTAGTCTGGTATCTGCTGTGCTGCCATCGTGCATCGCTCCGTTTGTGGTTTGGGAAATGTTCTCCTGGAGTTCGAGTTGATGTAGAAGTGCTTATTTTCAGAAGTATGGGGACTATGTGAGGTAGCACAGGCCTGCTTTGTTGCCAACATAATTTGTTCTGATTGTTTTAGTCTCTCTGCTCAATGAATCACAAGGCAGTATTTATCATCTTCAGTTTAATTTTGAGGGCAGAGTGGCAAAGTGCAGCTTCTCGTGGAATGAAGTATATATGGTTTTGAAGTATTGGAAGACCATTTCAAGTGTTGTCTTTAAAATGTCAGTACATTTTTTACATCTTATTTTTTTCAAAGCTTAATTCTGTCGGCTTTCAACAAAGTTTGGCTCATCGTTGTTAACCTGGCAGTTAAACTTACGAACTTAAGCTAGAATCTATAATTCTGTTAATGTGTGTGCTTTATGTGTTTTTTTCATGTGTACCTGAAACGTGTACTTTAAAACATTTTATTTCTTAGGAAAACTTGTGGCAAATTGTAAAAGTCATAGAAATTAATAAAGGTCCATTTATGGAACTCAATCGTGCTGTGGTACAGCAACATAAAAATACTGACTAACCAATCAAGACTTCAGTGTAGACTGTTTCAGGGCAGTCAAAGCCATATTTAACTTACAAATTCATATGATGGTTGTAATACAGAATTCTTTCTCTTTCTTTAATTACTATGAGCAACTATGGAGTTTAGTTCAGCAATTTTTGTTGTAAAGTACCTAGTCTGTGACTTCTAAGGCTTTTCACATTGTTGCTTGTATCCCAGTAGCTCAAAAATTGAAAGTGCTCATGGAGCCAAAATATCATTGATAAATCCTCCATGAGTGTTTGGAATTCAGGTTTCCTGCTGCAGCTCAGCAGATGAAGAGTTGGGTTATGGTAGAACATAAGTTAAGTGAGTATTTGCATTAATCCATCTGGGAGGGTGAAACTTGTTTTTTGTGCAAGTGTTAAGGGAGAAAATAAGACTGAGGTCTGGGCAGAGGAGAGGGACTGGTCTGAGGGAGGGAATAGCTTTGGGAACTTGGGAGGTTAAAGTATAAAACAGGGTTAGGAATGGCCAACATGAATAGCTCAACTGTGAGTAAATGCTTTTCAAGTAGTTCCTGGCTAAGTGTCAGTTTGATACTTTTAGTGTGACTGTTTAATGGTGGTATGAATGGCAGATTTCAAAGGTAGTTTTTAAAATAGGTATTTATTTTAAAGAATTTACAGTTTGTGTTAGGATCCCAAATATTATGTTGGGTTGAATCTCTTTCTAAAGCCCTTAGGCAGCAAGGAGCCATTTGAGACAAGTTTGTTTCATGTCATAGATTTTATATCAGCATTAACAACTTTATTAAAGGTTTCAGAGGACTTGCTGTGGACATTTTTAATGGGATAAGTGCTGCAGGGAATTCACTCTGGTGACATTCTGTGTTCTATCTGAGAAGACAACTTTGAGAGCTGACTGAAAATGAAGCTCTGCAAAAGGTGGAAGTTCTAACAGCATCTGGTTCTGGAGCTTGTAGTATATTCCTAAGAAGGCAAATTAAAGAGCTAAGTGTCAGAAAAACTAAAGGTAGCTTCAGAAGAGCAAGGAGTTGGCAGCTATCTTTTCTGTTATGGGTTTGTGTCAGAAGCCTGTGGATGTAGGCACATAAACTCTTTTCGGTGCTGAGTCCATGAATAGCCTAGTCCATACAGAGGTAAATATAAAAATTATGCCTTATTAACATGCATAAGTTAGGTTACTTACACAGTCTAATAGAGGACTGCAGCAGGAGAATTTTTTTGTCTGATGGCTAGCTCTAAACTTCTTTAAAACAATGCAGTTAAAATCATACTGCATATTTACACGTAACAATGGAGAAGTGAACTGTTTGACTTTCAGGATGATACCTATGATGGAAATACTAATCTTGTGTCACGGTATTTTATAAAAAATCTAGATTTCCAATCAGATAAATATTATTTTTAAATTGAGAAAGGGTACAATTTTTAGGTTTGTCCCTATCCTCAGGGTGGTAATGAGGATGGCAGTTAATTTGTATTAGTGACTAGAAAACTGGGTGTATGAGACTCTCCAAGTGAAAATTAAAATAAAGTGGACGTATCAGATGGAACCTGGGCACAAATGGGTAAATACAGGAAAAAACGCCAAAATATTCCAAGTAGTACTAGTATTTCTTAATATAATCTGCAAAGTGAGCCGTTTGATTTAACTGAAGACATGGTTCTTCCAGTTCATTTTAAGTCTCAATAATCCATAGGTGACTGAAAAGAGTTTTCTCATTTGTCTCATTTTAATGTAGCAGTATTTATTTTAGCAGGGGTATGAAACATACAGCAAGAAATTATTCTCAATATTTCATCTATATGGAGATCTCATTATTCACCATGATCCTTCATGCAACTCATTTTTCCTTCAAGATAATGGTGTTTTTCAGTATCCGTGTACTGTATTGAAATATATGAATCTAGACATTAAAAGATACTGATATGGTATTCATGCCTTGAGAATACCAGCCTTGTTATTTTCAGTGTATTTGCATGCCTCAGATGTCAGTGAAAAACTCAGCTCAACCATGATTTGTATTTAAATAGGTTTGGCAAGGAGACATGGTTAGAATATATAATTTAATCACTAAGAAAAATAGTGATGCTCCGAATGATACAATGAAAGATAGTTTATTTCTAACTGAAACCTGCTTTTTTAAACCAGTTGTCAGCATATGGCTTCTGTTTGTGTGATTTTAGCAGTTTGTAGAATGTAATGGGAGTGCTGCTGGTTATTATTTGGTGCAGGGTGCAGATCAGCGCAGGTGTTGTACAGGAAAAACAGGAAAGGCACATTTCTAGTCACAGAGAAAGGGAAATTCTGTGTCAAAGAGGAGGGAAGTTGTTTGTAAACAAAACGCTTACCTAAACTGGGGGGGAAAACCCCTCTGTCTCTGTTAGTCCCATTTATTTATTCTAATTTATCCTGGTAAATGAGGCTGAATGCTTTTGTTCATCTTTAATATCGGAAGGAGCATGTCAAAAGCAAGTATTTGCAATACCTTGAAATTGTTCAGTGGATTTCTTGGAAATGTCATTTGTCTGTTCTCAGACTTCAGTCTGTGCGTATTTTAAGATGTGTATAGTTTGATGGAGTGGATTATTGGTGCTTCTTTTTTTTTAATAGGAGCTCTTAGTGCTATTTAATGTCTTTTTATTGTTTGGTGAGAACTGAAAGAACTAAATTTATTGTTGTGCTATTAATGTTTTGGAGGTAGTAATGATAATGAATTTTCTTGCCCTTGCCCTGCTGATTTGATTTCACCTGCATTTACTTCATTTTAAATGTCAGGGCTTGAATTTTACCACGCTGGATGTTCTCCAAGTAGGAGCAGTGATGTTGCCTGCAAATATTACAGCTGAACTCTCTTGCAACTCAGGAGTGTATAAAGACCTGAAAGACTGAGAATTTTTGTACTGTAAAGTGGTACAGAATTTGTTATGTCTTGAGTTTTCTTGGATCTCACTTGGAACAGCAGACTGTTTGAGGCTATAACAAAGATAATTTGTTCTTGAGGTACTCAGTTGTTAAAAAGCTGTTGTCTAAACCTCACTGAAACCCACCATATATAAACTCTCATGAAATTTCTGACTAAACAGTTTTTAATGAATTTATTTCTTTATTTTACCCTCATTTCTCTCCAGTTGGTCAGTATTAGCAATTCTTCAGCAAAATAGAGTAGGGCAAGATGTCAGTTTTGAGCTGTTTAGTCTGCAATCCAAAAATCTAGGTAAGAAAGTGATGTCATCTATTAGTGACAAAAGGCTTTAACACCAAACATGTTTTTTGTGTAGCTTCTAAGTTTGTCTCAAGTAAATAAGTTTGTCACCATTATAACTCAGAGAATTTTTTTGTTTGTTTCTCCCCCCCCAAAGATGTGTATTATTGCACACTGAAAGTGTACTGTGGTTAATTTTATGAAGGAAACGTGTAGACGAGATATATTTGCTTTGCTAAAAAGTGATGAAAGAGTAGCCATCGGGGCTTTTTTATAAACTTTACTATTCTTTCAGCAGACCTCTTGGAAGTCTAAACCATGGAGGACGAGGAGAGCCGAGCGCAGCTCCCGAGTGAGAAGCAGGTGCCCGGCTCCGAAGGTGGTGACGAGTGGAATGTCACCGACACCAACCGACTGCGGCACTTCTTGTGCTTCGGCTCAGAGTGTGGTGCCTACCACATCAAGGAGCAGAAGCTGGGCTTTGAGAATGCAGCAGCCTTACTGAGACTGATTGAAGAGGGCAGGGGTTGTGAAGTTGTTGAAGAAATTAAAGCGTTTAGCCAGGAGGGCAGAGCGGCAAAGCAGGAGCCCCTGCTCTTTGCCCTCGCGGTTTGCTCGCAGTGCTCTGATGTGAAAACGAAACAAGCGGCGTTTAAAGCTGTCCCTGAGGTGTGTTGCGTACCAACCCATCTCTTTACTTTCATCCAGTTTAAAAAAGATCTGAAGGAGGGCATGAAATGTGGCATGTGGGGCCGTGCACTGAGGAAAGCTGTTGCAGATTGGTACAATGGAAAGAATGGCATGGCTCTTGCTTTAGCAGTTACAAAATATAAGCAAAGAAGTGGTTGGTCTCATAAAGATCTTCTGAGGTTGTCCCACCTAAAACCTGCCAGTGAAGGTAATAAATTTTTATTTACCTGAAAATACTGTGTTTTAAACCTTGTATATTTATTGTGGAACTATTTTGGAAACCCGAGTACCACTGTAGATGAATTCTTAGTGAGGATATCTTGTAAATTGTGTATTAAAAATGTAAGTGTTTGTATCAGAAATTGACCTGTTTATCTTCAAGATAAACAGTTTGTTAGTTCTTTTTCCTTCCATATGTCAAGAGAAGATAAAATAGCACAATTTCCTAAATTTGTTTTTATTTGCTTACAAATGATGAAATAACACTTTTTTGTTATTTGTTAAGATCTGTTGGTTTCAGGTCATAGAATCATAGAATGATTTGGGTTGGAAGGGACCTTAAAGGTCATCTTGTTCCAACCCCCTGCCAGGGGCAGAGACGCCTTCCAGTAGACCAGGTTGCTCAGAGCTCCATCCAGCCTGGCCTTGAACAGTTCCAGGGATGGGGCACCTACAGCTTCTCTGGGCAACCTGGCAAAGATATGAGGCTCCTAAGATCTAAGGAGAATAATACAGTAATGAAAAGTACTGTTTTAAATTGTGTGTGGCTGACCTTTTTAATAGGTGTTTGGCAGGTCTGAGATAGAAACCTGCTGACTCGTTTGCATAAGAATGATAAACACCAGTATACAGATGGTAATCCTGCTGGAAAAAATGTTTTTTTCTTCCAACAGGAATTGCTATAGTCACTAAATATATTACCAAGGGGTGGAAAGATGTCCAAGAAGCTTATAAAGAGAAAGCAGTTTCTGCTGAGACTGAAAAACTCCTCAAGTATCTGGAGGCTGTGGAGAAAGTAAAACGCACAAAAGATGAATTGGAAGTTATTCATTTGATAGAGGAATATGGTCTAGTTAGAGAGCATCTCCTGACAAATCACCTGAAATCTAAAGAGGTAGGTCAACTTCATTAGCTTTGGATTCTCTTTAGGGTAATGCTTTTTAGAGTCTTAAGCCTAGATTTCTGTAAAAAGTAGCCCTTATGCTGTTTTTCAAGTTGTCTGCCCAAAGAGCTAGTTGAAATGAAGTTCAGTGTATAATTTGTGCATTTATTTTAAAATACACTTATTCAGTGCACAGATTTCACTTCTTGTAGTTTGGGAATCTTGTCTTTTTGTTTTTACCCTTCTCTTTCTTTGGCCATAGGTTTGGAAGGCGTTGCTGAAGGAGATGCCCATTTCTGTATTGTTGAGAAATTTGGGAAAGCTGACAGCAAATGCAGTGCTTGAACCACGAGGTTCAGAAGTGGCAATAGTATGTGAAAAACTGAGAAATGAGAAATTGCTGAAAAAGGTAAGAACTTCTTCATAATCGATGCCAGCCCTTGTGGGTTTTAATCTCTTCCTTCACTGTGTTTCTTCAGCCATCCTCTACAAGATAAAAGTGAAGTTCTTCGGAGGAACTGTGTAGTTTGTTCTTAAATGAGGGCTCTGGCAAGCTTTAGCTCTGGGGTTCATGCATTCCTTCTGGGTCTTGTAATTTAGAATCAGCAATGCAAGCTTAAAAAGGGAGTGAAGTCACTTGTACAGGATCCTAGGAAGTGAAAGAAGAAGGTAGGATAGCTGTAGGAGGGAAAGGGAGACTTTCTCCTCTCAGATTGCTTTACTATCCATCAAAGGGGTAAGAAAATAAGAGGGGAAAGAGGGTTCCCCAAAGGGAGAAAAAAAATTACAGGAATTTAATGGAAAATAAAAAGGACAAGCAGTTTTGTGAGTTGGGAAGATTAAAATAAGGACACTTAAATTATTCAAAACCAAAGCTGATTTGAGCACAACAACATAGGTCCTTTTTTTTTCCCATCCCACTGCTCTTCCCTTTCTCTGGTTTCTTCTTTAATCACACGAAGGCACTGGAGAAGGGAGAGCAAAGACGATGGTGCAGTACTTTGATGGAAGAAAGGCACTGTAGAGCTATTCAGATTTGCTGAGATTCGTTACTGGCAGTGATTAATGAATGAAACTCCCCTTGAGGAAAAAAATACCAAAATGTTGATAACTCAGTAAAGCAAAGATGTGGTTTAGCATGAAACAAATGTAAAAAAAAAAAAAAGAAAAAAAATGCTGGGAATGTTTTATAGCAAGAGGGAAATGAATGCTGTGTTCTGAAAATAGTTTCTTTGTCCAGTGTTACTGTATTGGATATAAAAACTCATTTTAAGTTTGTTCTTTTCCTCTCAGCAGGACAGGGGTTTGTTACTGCAAACCTGTGATGGACAATCATAAAGATTTAAACTTCTACCAAAATTCTGGTGATAGCATAATATTTGGTGTTAATTGGAGGATTCTGGAAAGGCAGTGACGTCCATCACCAGTAACTGAGGAGTATCAGTTCATACAACAGCTGTGTGAAGGCTGCATGAACTCTTCAAATTTAACAAATTTAAAGTAATAGTATACTGAGCCAGAGATTTTTGTAGGAGAACCTTATTTTCCTGTTTAGTTTGTTACTACTTTGTTGTTTGCTGTTTTAAAGGAGGTCAGATTTTCAAGAAACTCGTTTTTTATTTCTTTTGCCTGTAGGGTAAAATACATCCGTTGCATATTTTGGTTGCATTAGAAACATATAAAGCTGGACATGGAAGCAGAGGGAAGCTTTGGTGGCGTCCTGATGAAGACATTTTAGAAGCTTTAGATGCCTCATTTTACAAAGCTTTCAAGGTAATACAGTTCTTCAATTTGTTAAGCTTTTTGAGAGTTCTGCGTTTTCTGAAAGCTTAGCAAGAAAACTTTGTGGGGTGGGTAACAGTGCTGAAACTTTGGCAACAATATTAATAATGTGTACCTATTTTCTTTTTTTCTCTTTTTTTTTTCCTTCTAGACACTTGAACCAACAGGAAAACGCTTCCTACTTGCAGTTGATGTCAGTGCATCAATGACACAAAAAGTTTTGGGCAGTGTGCTCAATGCAAGCACTGTTGCAGCAGTGATGTGTATGGTGAGGCATTGCATTTCTTTTGTTTATAACTGGTCTTTTGATACAAAGGTGCTCTAAAGCTGGTTAGAAATCAGGAGGAAACTTATATATAATATTTTTTGGGTACATGAGGAGTGACCTTGTGCCTTACTGGTAGATCAGTTCCTTAAAGTTACTGGTAACCATATTCAGAAAGATTGGTTTCAAGTATAAACCAAAGTGGTCAGGGCAGCTCTTTCACTTTGCTGAAAATACCTTTTAATTTTTTTCAGAAGCATTTATAGAATAACACAGATTGGATTAAGAAATTTCAGGATGAATCCTGTGTACATTTGAGTTATCCATGTGGCCTTTATTCACAGTCACTTTTCCCTCAGTTTGGTGTTGCAAAACTGTTGTGTTGCATCGTATTCTTGTATTATAGAGGAGTTTAACTTTTGCTGGCGTTTAAAAACACTCCATGTTTTATATCAGAGGGGAGAGAAGAAATCTGGAAGTATCTTTAGTTGTAGTAATTAGAGCAGTTCTTTAGCTCTGATTTTGGCAGTGCTTATTTGCAGTAAAATATTACAGAATATTTAAAGTGTAGAGTGAACTCTTGGTGCACGTGAGGAACCTGGTGTATTAAATACAAGAGCCTCTCATGTTGTGTGTTTGGTAGGGAATGGCTCCATCCAGACATTAAAAATTCAGAGTAAAATAACTGAATTGTTTTTGTCTTCCTCTTTCTCAGGTTGTAGCACGTACTGAGAAGGATTCCCACATTGTTGCCTTCTCACATGAAATGGTCCCGTGTCCAGTGATGGCTGATATGACGTTACCTCAAGTTTTAGTGAAAATGTATGAAGTATGTAAAAAAAAAAAAAGTCTCAGCAGTTACACTGTACTTTCTTTGTAATAGTTTTATTACTTTGTTTAGTCTGTGTCTCTGTAGTAAAACATTGGCTTTTTTGGTCCCTTTTATTTAGAGAAAGTCCAAAAAATGTCAGTATTTCAGTTATTAAACAATTTCAGATATTAAACATTGCAATTTAGAATGGTAGTGCTAGATCACAATGAGATTAAAAGAATGTTTAAAAAAAAAAACAACTCAACTAAAAGAAAACCCTAAGATGAAATAAGTTGACTTAAGTTTAACAAAAAAACCTCCGTGTGATAAAACATGAAGCTTACATAAAAGGTAATTCCATGGCTTACTAATTTCTGTAATAATGTGTTCCATGTATATTTATTTTTTTCTCTTAAGATTCCAGTGGGTACCACTGATTGTTCCCTTCCAATGATATGGGCTCAAAAAACTGAGAGAGCTGTTGATGTCTTCATTGTATTTACCGATAATGAGACCTTTGCTGGAAATACTCCTCCTGCCACAGCCCTTAGAGAATACAGAGAGGTAAATATGCTTCTGACTGTTTAGGATTAGTGAACGCAGCACTAAATAAATACCAACTCTAAAAATGTTTTAGGGACTGAAGTCGTTGTGGCTTTTTTTCAGTAAATAATTATATATTGTTAAAAGCTGATCAGTTCTGCAGTTAGGTAGAACTGGTGGACATACTGCACTAATTGTGCATATTTAAAACCACAGACTTGCTAAAAGGATTTGAATTACCCTACCCTGCTTGGTGTATTGCAATATCCATGAAACTTTGCTTGGTATTCAGGGAGTATATGAATTTTTGCATTCTATATATAATGGATTGAATAAATTTTTTATAGTTCTTCCAGAATGAAATTTGGCTCACAGAATTAAATTTACCTTTTTGTGTCTGCAGTAGAAACCAAGAAGTTTAAATAAAGTAATAAAGATAAGCCTGTAGGGAAGTGTCTATAGGATGAAGTGATTTTTTTTTCTGTAGAAAGCCCATTATGTTTTAAAGGGACTACTCTAAGCTTAATAATTTTAAAATAGAAGAAAGAAAAATAGCATCTCCAAGCACACTGCTATTAGAACCTCAGTAAACAATCTTTTATGCTTTAAAGAAACTACTTTTTAAACTACAAAAAGTATTTCTGGTAAGCATGTGTGTATGGACTGTGTTTTAGTTCTCTTACTTGAGATTAGCTCCCATTCCTAAACTTGTTCTATAAGGAAAGAGTTCCTGCACTCTGGCCTTTATGCCACTTGCTTTGCTTTGTCTTAGAGGTTACTCACCTGCAAATTCAGCTTATTTAGCAGAATTGTCCAGACCACAGCTGTTGTATTTATTCAGCCAACATTTGGAAATCCTTGCCTTCGACAAAAACACACTCTTTGAGCCTGATAATTACCCTTGGTAATTATTATTGAGTTGTCTCTAAGAATGAACTGCATAATAGCAAATGCAATGTTTGCATTTCAAACGATCTATGAATTGTAGTATTACAGGAATTTTTTGTTAATATACCTCGTTGCAATTATTTCCACTTATTTAAATATGTCTACTGCAGGTTAAACACAATGTTAACAGGCAGTGTTCAGCTCTGATTGTGGCATATCTCGTTTCTGTCAGTATGTCTGTTCAGACAGTGGTTTATGCAAACAAGATTTGGCCCTCTGGCATGTTTAATTTACTGTATATGTATGTACTGCCATGTTTTACTCTGTATGCATTTTCTGACTTTTTTTTTCTGTCCTTTCTCTAGAAAATGGGTATTCCTGCAAAACTGGTTATTTGTGGAATGACCTCAAATGGTTTTACAGTGGCAGACCCAGATGACAGAGGCATGTTGGATATATGTGGCTTTGATACAGGAGCTTTGGAGGTCATTCGAAACTTCACTTTGGATTTGATTTAATTTTTCTAGGCATTTGCTCTTCCCAGTGGGTCCACTGTTGGCAACAGACTTCACCCTGGGAACTCTCAGCCAAAAACACTTTGTTAGAATATGGCATATTATATATACACATATCAGAATGTTACGTGAGGTGGTGGCAGTTCAAGCATCTCTGACTAGAGCTTCTCACTAAGGTGTTTGTGAGGTTGAACATAACTGTGGTCTCATGCAAATCTAACAAATTAATTAAAACTCAGCGCTTGCATCTCTAGTGTCAAAAGAGCTGTCAGTAGCCAGTGATCCCTCTGCCCCTGGAGGTGGCACCACATGTCACCACTGTCATATCTGGACTTGGTGCCACACAGGAACACCCTGCACCGCTCGGACACTCCTGGCTATGCCTGTCAGTTGAATCAGATCGCCCTTCAGAACCCTGCAGCACAGGTGGCAGCCCTTTTCCACACCCTTTGAGAAAGGCATCTCGACTCCTGAACCACCTTCCTTGTCTCCAGCATGCTTATTTTCCCAAGGCAGTTTGGTTTTTTTCCTATCCATGCGCTCAAGACTTTTCTTGGACTTATTCCTGGATCAGTCTAGGCACCATGGAGCTGCAGTTTCCCAGAGCATCATCCCTTGAGTGATACCCACAGTAACTATGTGTGCTCAGAGTCCTGTGGCCCATCAGCAGCCAGTCTGTATCTGTTCCAGAGCGTAAACAGGACCCCTTGTCGTGACCAGATGACAGCAGGGGCACAGTGTGCTGTACAAACCCTTGGCCCACTAAGCTTCAGCATGGTCTGCCTGACCTGCTCCACATCCACCCCGTCCCTGTTGTCCTCCAGTTCCACAGCATCCGCTGATTTGAAGAGAGGGATGGTTTTGCTGGGGCCTGTGGATGCCAGCACAGCAGATGTTTCCGTGTCATCATTCCAGACCCTGCTCTTGCTGTCCACCAGTGCTGGAGTTGGCCCAAACGCCAGCTTGACCAAGTCCAGCTCCCCACTAGGGTAAGTGAAGAAGGCCACGGTGTTGACCCCCTCCTCATGGACTTTGGAGTTGTTGTGCTGTAGATACTCCCACAGCCGCATGAACAGGGGGTTGTACTCCTGCTGGATGGCCAGCTTCTTGTCCCCCAGGACTTCAGCAGCAGCAGAGACCAGTGGTGCCAGGAAGGGGCTGGACCTGTCACCCAGTGCCAGCAGATGGATCACCTGCAGTGCTCTGAGCACTGCTTGAAGTTGGAGTAGTTGAGGAGTGTGCAAAGGAAGCTGATGAGCTCCAGGAGGCCAAGGGCAGGCATGGAGGTCGCTGCTGCCTGGCAGGCACCTCCAACCACCCTCTTCAGCTCCTCCACGGCTTGAGTGCAGTTCTTGTTGTCCAGCAGGTGAGCCTGCAGCTCCAGGGTCAAAAATCTGGACTTCAGGATGGGCTGCGTGGGGGCATTGGTGCTGTGTCCTCACATTCCTGCAGGCTCCTCCAGCTCCAGACCAGGAGCAGAGTGAAGTCCTCATAATCCAGGAGGGAGCAGTGTCCTGCTGCTCCACTTAAACAGGAACAAGTCTATGGGGCTGGATTCAATCCATCCAACGGTACTGAGGGAGCTGGCAGACGAGCTTGCCAAGCCACTCTCCATCATTTTTCATTAGTGCTGGCTCACCAAGGAGGTCCCAGATGACTGGAGGTTGGTCAGTGTGACATCCATCTAGCAGAAGGGCCTGAAGGAGGATCCAGCATACTACAGGCCTGTCAGCCTGACCTTGGTGCCAGGGAAGGTTACTGACATCATCTTGATCACACAGCACTTGCAGGACAACCAGGGGAGCAGGCTCAGCCAGCAGGGGTTTATGAAAGGCAGGCCCTGCTTCACCAACCTGATCTTCTTCTATAACTTGGTGACCTGCACAGTAGATGAGGGAAAGGCTGTAGATACATCTGCCTGGACTGTAGGAAAGCATTTGACACTGTTTCCCACTGTTTCTCCGGGAGAAGCTGACAGCCCATGGCTTGGATGGGTACCCTGTGGATAAAGAACTGGCTGATGGCTGTGCCCGGAGAGTGGTGGTGAGGGGAGTTTCCTCCATCACCAGTACGAGGGCCAGTCCTGTTTAACATCTTATTGATGATCTGCATGAGAGGATCATTTGCATATGACCTGAAGTTGGGCAGCAGGAGGGTGGATGTCCTGCAGGATAGGAAGGTGCTGCAGGATCCTTGGGCCCTGGACTGTTGGATGAAGTTCAACAAGGCCAAGTGCTGGGTCCTGCACTTGGGTCACAACCAGCCCATGCAGCACTCCAGGCTTGGGGAAGAGTGGCTGGAATGCTGCCCAGTGGGAAAGGATCTGGCCTGTATCAGCAATGGTGTGGCCAGCAGGACCAGGACAATGATTGCCCCCCTGTACTTGGCACTGGTGAGGCTGCACCTCAAATCCTGTGTCCGGTCAAGCATTTGGAAAAGGCTGCCCAGGGGAGTGGTGGAATCATCATCTCTGAAGTGTTCTAAAAACTCGTGGATGTGGTGCTTAGGGGTGTGGCGTAGTGGTAGATGTGGCAGTGTTAGGTTAAAGGTTGCACTCGATGAACTCAGAGGTCATTTCCAACCATAATGATCCTTGTTACCTTTTTGTGAAGGGAAAACAAGAAGAGCAGATGAGAAATCTCTTTTCTCTTTTTTCCCGTTGCACACGATTTAAAATAACGGTGGGAAGTTTGCTGAAAGTGGCTACAGGGTATACATAATTTAATTTCACTTGTAATATGTTATAAATATGGAGAGATTTTTAATTTCCCCCTCCCCTGTTGCTGTGGAATGCTTGTTTGCGAGAATAAATTGATGAATTACATTTAGAATGGGGCTGGAAAAAAATGGGTTTAGTAATTTTAATGACGTCAGTTTAACAGCAACTTCACTGAGAGGGACTTTTCTTTGGGCTTTTTAAAATCTTTGTATTTTAAGCATTACTAAGGTTCAATGGTTTCCATGGTTACAGTTAAAACCTACTATACCTAAAAGTATTTTCTGGTACATATTGAGACCATGTGACTGTGATACAGGATAAAAGTTATCCAGGGAAATTTTATACTGATAAAACTGAAAGTGGAAGAGCTCATGCCAGTCTTTTTCTATGTAGATTATCATCTGGGTTTTCAGGAGTAAATATCTCTTAAGATAAATTGAGGGGCAGTTTCTGCACAATATGTTTCGGAAGCACTATTTTAGAATTAATACACTTTGCAGGAAGCTCTAAAAACTGTTTTTAGTAGAAAAAGACCTTGCAAATGACTGTGATGCCACATTCAGTCCATGTTACAACTTCAGGAAGCATCAGCACACTTTCAGCAAGAGAGATCAACAAGTGCATGTGTCTTGGCCTGCTCTCCAAAGCTGAGTGGGAACAACCAGAAACCATAAGCTACTTTTTTTTTTTTTCCAAAAGAATGTATTCAGTGATATAGAAACAATCTTCCTAACAGGAGAGTATTTCATTTTTAAAAATATTTTTGTAGGTTAATGCTACTTCTGATTTCATGAATTAATTCAAGCTAACATATTTCAAAACTACCTCCAGTTTATAGTGACCAATTCTTAAAAACTTTTATGAACTGTACAGTTGCATCCTTCACGTTCACAAGATCTTGTTTAGGAAGTGATTGAAACTGGATTTTTTTTTTTATTTTATTTTTTGATTTTTAGTCTTAGAGTAAGACTGTGAGTAAACAAGGAGAAAGCTAGTGAGTATCTTACCACTTTGGAACAGGGATTGATAGCAATTAATGTGTATATGTATTTAATTCTCTGTGTGTTTTATATGTGTGTGTATGGGGGGAAGTTAAAAGATCTCTTTAGTAGATCGATCTTAAAAGATTAGAAAGGTTTTTTAGTGATGCTTTTACAACTTCCTCTAAAACATATGTGTGTCAGCCTCTTTTATGCTAATGCTGGCTGTTGTAAACAGTGAATTTGATGTTCATTTGAAAATAATTATGATTTATAAAAATAACGGATTTACCCCTTGTGGTAAAGAACACATAAGACCGTATTTTTCTGCCTAAAACCTAAGCTTTTAAATGTAAATTCATATTATACTTTTGATACTTGTAACACTTTTCTTTTTTTGCCTCATACATGTTAACTACAAATCCAGAGCTCGCGTTCTGTGGCGCGGGCATCTCTTTTGGTGCTAAAACGGGATGGTACATGTTACTGAGGGTATTCCTGCTACTTACTTACACTGTCCCTTAATGAACAAACCAAACCGGTGAGGAAAACCTTCTCTGACATTAAAACCAGGGCTTAAAGAACCGATGGTAGGAGTGTTACCTTCCAGTGAACATGAATGTATAGTTACTTGTGAATTATCACTGCTCTTATGATATGGCTCTGATAGAAAGCTTGGAGAATACAGGACTGCCACCAGCTCCTCAAGTGACATCAAGGGAAAAAACGTGTTCCTGCAAGAGCTGAGACGTAGCACTTTGAGTTTCTTGAAAATCTGCCATTTCATGTGAACAATTGCATATCACTCTGAGCAGCTGAACAAAACACCATATCAATATGGGGAGTAAACTCATTTGCTCAATACATGTTAATAATTATTTCAGGTAAACGCACTGATGTTTTGGGGGTGGTTTTGGTAGTAATGTGTTTTAAATTACGCAGTAGTCAAACATCTGATTAGGTGTTTCCTCTAAGCTAGAGATGTTGAAAATAACTGATGATGAGTATCTTTTGCAAGTACTTTTTCTTACTTGGAGTAGTATTTGTAAAGTCATAGGAAATATTTTGGACTAAATATAAAAATGAAAAACAGGTGGTTCTAGTACATTTACTGCTAATAAGAGGTTAGAATAGTTACTAACAGGTTGAATGAACGGTTATAGTGGTGTTACATCTTTGAAAGCAGTCCAGTTTAAAATACAATTCCCTGAACTAGAGTGTGTAAGTAAAGATGAACTTCTCAGTAGAACTGATAGAAATTGTAGCTCCCTGTATCTCTTGACACTGGACAGCTCTGACCCGTAATAAAAGATAGTCATCCATGCTAGGATACATAATACACTCCTAAACATTTATTGTATCTCTATACAAAAAAACCTTGCTAGAAATAGAATATTCTAAGTGGTTTGGTTATACAGTGGAAAACTAGCACTGGTGAGACCACCAGTGTCATCTCCTCCTTCCTTAAGATTTACACAGGCAGGGGAAAATGAAGTAAATGCTCACAACTGAAACTTTATAGTGTGACCTTTGTTCCTATAATTTTCTTTTTGGGTTTGTTATTATCTTCCAGGAAGGGGCGTAGAATAATGATGCTGCATATTCCTTTTCCCTAGACTGGACCCTTGTCTGCCCACACACTGAATTTTAGGGGACAGCATGACTCATTTGCCGTAACATAAACGTGTTCTGAGTTTAGTTATTAAACTGGTGATTTCCAAACCGATATCTAGACATGTAAAGAGGCAATAATTACTGCAGTGCTTCAAAAATAATAGAAAAAAGTGAACTAAGACAGAGTTGCTAAGCTGAAGCATTATTAGTTCAGTGTACAGTCAATGACCTCCCTTTTCACTAAAGAGGAGACACGAACTCTTTGAAATTAATAGTGGTGTTTGCATTGGAGGAATACTTGGGCTAACAAAGCAGAAATGGGGCTATAATTGTGCAGTGCAGTTTATCAGTACAAATTGAACAGGGAGAAGCTTAAAGCTAGTTAATTTTATTCAAAATATTGATTAAAATGAGTCTAAATGCAGAAGGCAGCTGTAGAGTGGACGAGCTCCTGATATCTGACAGAACTGACAGGTTTCACTTTGGCTGCCATTTCACTGTGACCCCCTTAACAATTCTGAGGTATTATACAATTATGTCTAAGGCTGTAATGTTCAGGCACTTTAGGAAAAGAAAAAAGGTTCTAATGTTTGGAAGCACAACAGAGGTAAAATATTCTTCTATAATGAAGAGCTGTAAGGAACGAAAATCAAAGGCCAGGGTTCTTCATGGAAAAGGGACACAATCAAGAATGTGGAGAGGGCCAAGAGTTAGAATTTCATGTCAGGAATTTTAGACCTGGAGCAAAGA